GCCTTCACATTCACATGTGTCTCGCTCTGAAAAATCTCTCCACATCAACAATCTTGAATTACTTGCCATCTACAAGGCTTTCTGCGCTTTTGAACCTCTTATTACCGGTGAGGCCGTGCAGGTGACAACAAAAAAACCCCACAGCACTCTTCTTTATTAACAAGCAGGGAGGTACCCACTCACTTCCTGTCCTATGCCTTGCTGTCAAACTGTGGGAATGGTGTTTTGACCAGCATATTTACCCAGTGGCAGTCCATATCACAACTCAACACAACCGGGCAGATACACTCAGCAGGCTTCGAATGCAGATGCACAAGTGGGTAGTCAACGACTCCGTGTTCTTCCAGCTCTGCAACCTATGCGGACATCCCCAAATAGACATTTTTGCCACATCTCAAAACACCAAATGCGCCCTTTACTGCTCCAGGGCAGGCATAGGTCCAGGTTCCCTCAGAGATGCACTCATGACACAATAGACCTCCCACCTGGTCTACCTCTTCCTCCTATGAACCATTGTCAAACTCAATCACTCAAATGGCATCCTCATCGCCCCGTGGTGGCCCAGGCAACCCTGGTTCACCATGTTCCGGTCAATTTCCACTGACTTCATCCATCTTCTTCCCATCCCTCACCTGCTCACTCAACATCAGGGAAAAACCTTTCACCATGACCACCACACTCTTGAACTCACAGCGTGGAGGATTCACCCTCTGTAGCTACCATCCTAGGTCATGCTCAAAAGCCTGCTACCACGCAACTTTATGCCTACAAATGGACTGCTTTCCAGAAGTTTGCAGCTCAACATAATCTTCCTACTGCACCAACAACTCTTCAGGCACTCCTTGCCTCCCTTTTTCGCCTTTTATTTCAATTAACATCTCTCCTTGTCTACTCTCAAGGTTTATATCTCCGCTGTAGTGGTGCACCAACCAAAAGACTCTGATGCTGCCCTGTTCTTCTGACACCTGACCTTAAAGCAATTTCTAAGGGGCATTTCCAACCTCCACCCTTCCAGACCCTCACCACCACATTGGTTGTTGCACACCGTTCTCTGACGTCTTATACTACCTCCTTTCGAGCCTCTTGAAACTATGTCGGACTGTTTCCTTTTCTTTAAGACCCTATTTTTGGTTGCTATTACTTCTGCTCACAGAGCTTCTGAACTTGCAGCTCTCCGAGTCGACCCTCCATTCCTCCAATTCCACCCTGACAAAGTTACACTTTATCCTGATGTCTCCTTTCTGCCAAAGGTTATATCTGATTTTCACCTTAGACAACCCATCATTTTACCTATCTTTTTTTTCATCACCGACGAGCAACTTGGAGTGCTCTCTCCACCTGTTGGACGTCAGAAGAGCCTTAGCGTTCTACGTCTCTAGGACTACTTCCTTTTGCAAGTTTAAAAGACTTTTTGTCACTCTTCACTTGCCTCACAGGGGTTCTCATATCTATTCTCAAACCATTTCTCGATGGATTGTCACAACTATACACCCCACATACCAGCTCGCCCGAAGCCTCTGCCCTCAGGCATTAAGGCACATTCTACAAGAGCTGTTGCTGCTTCCACAACCTTTCTCAGAGGTATACCTCTACCTCGGGTTGTTTGTGGCCTGGTGCTGGTCAATGGGCTTTCCGGAACTGGGCCGCTGATATGGATCTCCACATGTACGGTGGGCATGTCACGTTCACTTGGGGGCATGTCACACTCATGTGGGGGTGCCCCCGCCCTGGAGCTTGCTCCCCCTAGCCAGTCTGCGCCCCCAAAAAGGTTGGGGACTGCTACTGCTACTCTACCTGATATCTGCAAGGCTGTTGCCTGGGCAACTGGATCTACATTTGCCACTTATTACCGTCTAGATGTCAGGGCAAAGACAGATGCGGCCTTTGGCAGAGCTGTGCTGTCGTCTATCCTTAGTGACGTCCCTCCTCTGGTAAGTAAGCTTGTTAATCATCCAATAGTGTGTATTCACAGAGACCACAAAGAAGAAAGAGAGGTCACTTACCTGTAACTCTGGTTCTACAAGTGGTTGTCTGTAAATTTACACTCCCCGCCTGTCCTCCCCTCTGTCCGTCACATCTGTTTCACTTTGATACAGCGGCGGGCTGTTCTTCGGAACTGAGGCAATCACCAGGACGGGCGGTCCACGTACTAGGGGGGCGTTCCTGGTGAATGCATGATAGGGCTCTAGAACATTCCAGAAACCTCTGTGCAAGCGCAGACTAAACCCTATAGTGTGAATTCACAGATGACCACTCGAAGAACCAGAATTACAGCTAATTAACCTCTCTTTATTTTAGTTACCTAAGTCCCAAACTGTTAAAGGGCACGTGTTTTTATGTGAACACCATCATCTTGAGTTGGAGTTGACGCGGCTGCAAGGGAAAGTCTTTCAGAATTGGTAAGGTTTCTGCTGAGTTGTCTCTTTTAAAATGTGGATGACTGCATTCTACACCTGCTGCATATATGTATGTATGTGCTGGGTAGATAGCTCAATGAATTTGATATCTGGATACAGAATCAAGGAGTTAGGAGTTTGATTTATATGTGTTTCCCAGAAAAAGAGCCAGCCTTGGGAAAGCTTCAGTCCAAAAGTACCCCTAGAAGAAGGTAACAGAAACAGCTTCTGACCACTCTATACCTAGAAAACTCTGAAAAGGGTTTCTATAAATCACAATTGACTTGATAGCAAGTAACTATTATTACATTCTTATCAATGCATCCTTATAAGATGCTTTTGTAATACCTTTCTAGGGGAGTGTACAAAAAAGTAAAAGTAAATATACAGTCATATAGAAAGATAGAAACTATATTTAAAAGTATGTACAGTTCTAACAGCCAAGTGTAAAAGATGCTTTTTAGGACAGCAAAGTTGCCTTCTGGTGCAGAATCCACGAAGAGAAAGAGGCACACTACCTAATGGTCACCTGAAGAGTTAAAAAAAATTCAACCACTTGCCATGTGTAAGTATTGCTACCCAAAAAGTCTCCCCTGCCAATATTTATATTTGCTGTTGGGGTACTTTTGGCTCCAGCAAAAGTCTCATGCTATTTTTTAAAAAAAATATATTATTTTCTTCTTTACAAGGGTAGGGCAGGGTAGGGGGTAACTGGGACAAGGATACATTTAGAGGAGGTGAATTTGAACAGACACAATACACATCATTATTTTCATAATAATTGTAAATAATCCCTTCTAAGAGTAGTTCCGGATAACATACCAGAATATATACAATATAATATATAAGGAAAATCCAAATTCAGACCTATATTTTGTACTGTAATTCCAATTATTAATTATGCAGCTGTTAATATTTATCTAGTATTTAAAGGTAGTGGTCACTATATATATGATCACAAAATAGAATGGTAGGTCTGATAGACAATCATAGTATAGTCTCATGCTATTTTTGATGAACCTTGATGCAAGTGTGGTTTTCAGTACATTGACATGTTCAGAGCATGTTGATTTCCTGCCCACCCTTTTTTCCAAGATTGTGAGTCAGGAATAATCCACACTAAGTATTTAAAGGTAGTGGTCACTATATATATGATCACAAAATAGAATGGTAGGTCTGATAGACAATCATAGTATAGTCTCATGCTATTTTTGATGAACCTTGATGCAAGTGTGGTTTTCAGTACATTGACATGTTCAGAGCATGTTGATTTCCTGCCCACCCTTTTTTCCAAGATTGTGAGTCAGGAATAATCCACACGACAAGGTGCTCGCCATACCACAACTTTAACCATGACTGCATACATTGGCATTCGCACTGGGAGCAGACAATCAAAATGAATATTGTAGTTACCCCATAATTAGAAATGCAGTGCCTTTAAGTGGCTATATACCTTTACCCTAACTTGAGGTTTCTGAATTCAGCCCATTGGAAATTAGCCTGCTTTTTGTGTTTTTGGGGTAATTCATCATCAGAAGATAACAGGTTTCATTGGCTAGTTGATTCTCCAGACATAGTTGCTTTGAAAAACAGCATCTTTGCATAGAAAGTATTTTATCATTCTGTAATTGCAAAGTTAGCATCTTATCTCATTCATCCCAAGAGAAAATTCACAACTTATGATTTTTTTAAAAAAAATTGGTGCATGAAAATTCTATTGAGAAAACAGTAGTAACGTTTATACGTATGGACTTCACATAAAATCTCCAAGAACAGCATTCAAAATACTGCAGAGCTAATACAGATCTGTGTGGATGAACAGACTGTTATATTATATGGCAATTAGCATTTGGCATTAAATAATTATTTAATAAGTTGTGATATTGCATGGGAGTCTCCTTATTGTAAAAAAAAGTTCAAAAACATAACTGGATATAATTAGAAACAATACCAGAACAATCTTATCATAAGTATGTTGTCATAAAATTAAGGGAAGGAACAGGTAAGCTGAGTTTTAAAAAAATTCTTGACTGAAGATGTGAGAACAGAGTTCAAGGTCCCAGCTTGCTATTAGGAGCATCTGAGCAATATTCTAGTTGATAACATTGTGGCTTAGCTTAACTAAATTGCATGTGCCAAAGAAACGAAAACAAAAGTTGTTTATCCACTGCATCAGTCGTAGTTTGTCAGAAACCCTCCTCTAGGTGTTTTAAGAATTTTTCAGCTTTAATTTAGAAAATATAAAGAAGTAGGAGAAAAGTGGTTTCAAATAACCATTTTCTTCTATAAAGTAAATCAAATACTGTACCTATATTCCTTTTGGTTGATTGTGCTTTACATAGTCTTCCTGTTTTTAAATGGAAACTAGCAAAAGAATGTGTTTTTAAATTATTTCTTACTAAGTTCTCCATCACAGTATTTCTTTTGCCAAGGGAGTATTTTGCTGATGTAGTACTGGGTGCAGTTTTCCATCTGTCCTATACAAAGGAAGTCAAGCACCGAGTACTTGAATTTAAAGTAAAGAATCTGAACTGCTTTTCATTTGCTTTGCTCCCTTTTGAGATGCCAGGAGCAATTTCCTCTTGAAGCTGACTTCCTTTCTGGAAATGATTTTGTCTCAAACCCTGCAGAGGCTCTCTATTCCTGTTCTTTGACTGACTAATGTGTTTCATTTTGTTTTGTTTTTAAATACTTGTTACTTAAAAAAACCTTCTGATCATAAGAAACCACCCTGAAGTTCTTCTGTAACTTTTTATTTAGGCTTTTTCTCACATCACTATCAGTTAGCCAGGAGGGACAGACAAAGCACTCATTGGTGCCCTCTCTGCAACAGAACACGGCTCAGGGGCCTGGCTGGAAACTGACGTGGCATGGAAAATCTCTGCTCAGTTTTTTGTAGTACTTTGTAGGTTCCTCAGAGAGCTGCACCACTCTTGCTGAGTTTGTCGCCTGAAATCATCGTGGGTTTGATGCCTCAGTGCCAACATGAATAGGAAGTTTCTTGCTTTTTTTAACTTGGAGTGTGATATTCTTTCTTCTTTGGATTTATGGCTAATGGTAAACAGCATCTAAAACAAAATCTGCCTTTTTCCCCGCCTTGGACAGAGAAATAGTTCTGAAGGGTTGTATATTCCCCCCTCTCTTTTTTTTGCCTCCTGCTGTCTTCTACTTTACTGTTCCCTGTCTTACACCACCAGATGTTATTATGGGGTGTGGACTAAGAAAACTGGAAGACCCAGAGGATAGTAGCCCTGGAAAAATATTTTCAACCTTAAAGAGACCACAAGTAGAGACAAAGACAGATTCTGCTTATGAATACATACTGCTAGATTTTACATTAGAAGGTATGTATATGCTTTTTCAAACTTATATAAGCTTAAATGGGGAGACATTGTCCTTTGTAACATTTTCTGTGATTACATAAAGGTAATCAGAGTAACTTGTTTAGAATTATGTTAAATTATGCTTGTGATTACTGGAATACTGTATATTTGTGTATATATGTACAATAAAGTCCACTGGTATCTTTTGTTCAAACGTAAGCACTGCTTCAGTTTTCAGGGGATTGCTGGAAACTGAATTCTCTTGGTATGAGCAGTTTTGCTGCACTTGACAGCCCTGTGTAAAAGGAATTCTGAAGAAATCAGAGCAAAATGCCTCCTGAGATATTCTTCTTTATTTTAGAGTTTAATAGGTGTGTCGAAGTAAATTTTAAATGTGTACCGTTAGATGCAGACTCTACCCTCCCCAGTGGGACTACTTCCTTCTTTTGTAGACTGTCTTGTTTCCAACCAAGCGACTCCCTGCCCCAGAAAAGTTGAAAACATAAACAACCAACCCCAGATGGCTTCCTGCTAAGCACAGTTCAGCAATAGTTGCTGTAGGGGTCCATGTATTCTGTATTGAAAAGGTTTTGTGAAGCTGCTCAGTGGCTGTGCTTCAGTTCTCCAGGGGAAGCTCTTAGCAGAAAACTCATTCATAAGGCTGTTTGTGATCACAATGGTCTCACTGTCTTACTACAATCATTGTCTTCATGCACATTTTTGCAGTATAAATAAATAGCTTGATACGTTCAGGGCACATAATTCTATTTTAGTTCACTGCCTGTGAACTAAACATTAAACACACACGCACACACACACACACATATAATAGAGAGAGATTACCAGAAAGAGAATTCTATTTTAGTTCACTGCCTGTGAACTAAACATTAAAAACATATATATATATATATATATGTGTGTGTGTGTGTGTGTGTGTGTGTGTGTTTTAGATACCTGTATATATATGTATGTATAAAAGAGAGAGATTACCAGAAAGATAATTCTATTTTAGTTCACTGCCTGTATATATATTAAAAACATATATATATGTTTTTAATGTTTAGTTCACATAGTTCATAGTGTTTTAATGTTTAGTTCACATAGTTCATTAGTTCATATATATAAAACAGAGAGAGATTACCAGAAAGATGAACAAGTGGGTCATAGATAGAGATGGCCATGAACTGCCAGTTTGGTGGTTCATGCCAGAGGCAGTGCCCACAGGACGTGGGGCAGGGAAGCCAGGGTGCTGTCTCTGAGTAGGTGCACCCCGGAGGAGGCAGGGCTGGGAACTGCCAGACACCTGTTTGTCCAAAGGATGAACCAGTGGTTCGTGCCCATCTCTGGACATAGAGCAAACCAAGCTTTAACTATCTCTGGAGGTAACAATGATGAACCTGAAGCTGTCATACTTTGGGCACATCATGAGAAGAATGGATTCTCTGGAAATGACAGTAATGCTGGGAGTGGTGGAAAACAGCAGAAAAAGAGGAAGACCTAATATGAGATGGATTGACTCCCTAAAGGAAATCACAGATTTGAGTTTACACAAGTTGAGCAGTCCTGTTGAGGACAGGACATTCTGGTGATTTCTCCTTCATAAGATTGTGATGAGTTGGAGGTAACTAAATAGCGCGTAACAAAATGTGTTTTGCTCATTTTGATTTGCAGGAAACAAAATGTCTTTGTGTGCTAACATACAAGCAAGCAACAATATATTATTAACCTCATGCTGAGTGACCTAATGCTTACATAATATAACAGGTTGTAACTTTACATTTAGTAGTTAATTTAAAATATATTGCATTTTGTTTGGCTGCAAAGGAGGCAACAAGAAATTCCATTGCATGGATACAAGCATCTAAAAGTCTTTTGATGGGGATGATTTCTTTGGGTGTGGGGAGAGAGAGGAATAATTGCACAATAAAACAGGTCTTTAGCATCTCAGTGCAAGAGAGAAAGGAAACTTTGTGTCATTAATTGAAGTTTTTGTGTAATATTGTTAAAAATGGCTCTTCTGCAAAAGGAAGGATTTTTGTGAAGGAACTACAGCCCAGTGGAAGTTTCTTCTGGAGAAAGCAAGCAAGGCTGTCATACTTGGCATCAATGCCTGGTATGGTGGGGCAAATGCCAGGGGTACCTGGGGGTCACAAGGCTTTCTTTTCGTTTTCTTTTCTTCAGATTTTTGCAAGGGTAGTCAATATGCTGTGAAGTGGCACAGCAGTGAGGTTATCACTGCCAACCATCTTATTTTGCTCAGAATGCGTTTGACCCCTGCTGTACTGATTATGAGACCTAGATTTAGAATATCTCACTGAAAAGTGGATCTCCCCTTGCTTTTATCCCTTTTAATGTATTAAAGGAAACTCCTTTAAACATAGGCTTTAAAATGTACAGGCAGTGCATAATGATATATGAAAAGATACGAGAGAAACTGTAGGATTTCCAGAGCAGGACTACAATGACTTGTCCAAAGCCTTCACTGTCTCCAGAAGAAACAGAGGAAAAATACCGGTACTTATTTATGTGCAAATATATATGGTATATGCAGGTCACATAATTTACATATCTTGATGCAAGGCTTGATATTTTTTAAGAGTTTTTGTTACTGCATGTTATACCCATCTCCCAGTCAGTAAGTACTGCAACCATAATTGCTGTTTTAATTTGTGTAGTTTTCTCTTGGCAGCTGTTACTAACCACTAACTCCTCAACATCTCTGCAATTTTGTGTATGTGTTATAACTGGGGCAAGAAATGGACTATGGAGAGAGCCCATAACTGAAAGAGGGAAATCCATAACTGATTTAAGCATCGTAACATAAGCTTCTCTCACAACCTTTTATCAGGCAGATTGGCTTGCTTTGTCCGGTGGCTGGTCTTCAGGATGTAAGGTGGGATTCATTTGAAGTCTGATTTCACAAACAGGGAAAGATTCAGTCATCTGTCTAACTTTAAGAAGCTTTCAGCTCTAATTACAGGCTCTTTCTAACATATATGTATCTCATCGGGGAGAAAGGCCATGTAGTTTGTTCCTATAGGCAATTCCTACAAATGCAACTTAAGCTTGATAGATGAGCAGATGGATGTAGAGAAAGACCTTATAAGTGAAACCTGTTAAATAATCAATTATATCCACTGTGAAGCTTTTCTGTAATTTTAATTCCTTTAGGTTCTGAAAATCCAGAGGTTATCAAGATTGACTCCATTCTGGATATTGCAAAAAAGGTGGATGAATATTATACTAGAGGCTATGTGGTGAGGGCTGTTCACCCTGTTTTGCTGTCAGTTGGACGAAGAAGGCACTTCCCGGCAAGTCATATGTATCGGGTTATACTGGCACGTCTCAAAGTGAGGTATGTGCCATGGTAAATGAGAACTTAAATCATAGTAAACTCAATTGTGTATTTTGTACTTAGGTTGAAAATCTGCTAGTTCCTTATATAGGGGATGCTCCATGAGGAGGGAACCTCATTCCGACCGTAATCAGTCTATGAAGCATTTCTGCCTTTTTTGCCAGAGCTTAGAAATGTTACTTCTTTGGACAACCACTTCCAGCATCTCCCACAAGCATGGCTTGGAAGATTCAATTTCTTGTCTCGAAACAGTAACTCTTACAACCTCTGCTTGTTCCTCACAGTTGTGTGTGTATTTTGCACAGAATGGGAGATTAACTAGACAAAAGCAAAATATTCTGCGTGAAATACTTTTTTCCAACAAAAAACACATCTGTCAGGTTTTCATTAAAAAGTACAAAAATGCACAAAGTGCACAAAAACATTCACAGTCTCACTGTATGGAGAATACTGGACAAGGTGTTTGAAATGTTTCATTTTCACCTGTGAGAAGGAATTAAGGAAAGATACACAACCCCACCTGTAGCACCTTAGCAACAAACTAAATGTAACATTGTGTTGTCGTATTTTCCCCAGGACTTCATTGAGTGTTTTTTTTCCTGCCACATGCATCACACCTTGTGTGTGCAGTTGCAGTTTCCCTGCCTTTTGCACAAGGGAGCATTTAGTAACTGCTTGTGTAGGTGGAAGGTCTGTTGCTTTTATTGGGGCAATTTCCAAGTCATGAAACTGCAAGCACTACCTACGGAGTGCTCCCATGGAGCACTTAGATTCTGTATTTGCCAACAAAAATCTGGAACAGTGGATCTACTCTAATTTGGGCTAACAAGTGGATTAGAAGCCATATAATGAACTTGTAATTTGGCCCTTGAAGACTAATATATTTATTATGTGGCATAACTTTCATTATTGGAACAAGTTCCATCACCTGCATGAAATCTTTTATTTATTAGTAAATATGTGTAGAAATGAGTTCAGAGACAAAGGAAAAGAAACTGTGATGTCAGGGAGAAAATAGAAAAAGTCCACAAGACTATTGTCACAATCTGTATCTTCTCAATTCATTTGCTTTTGACTAAACTGTTTACAATTTTCCTCTTCTCCTGCACTCATGTCTATATATACTTGCTAAGATAAAATTTCATCTATCCTGGTTCAGGAAAGCTTATGCCATACATAATAAATATATTCATCTTTTATCACAGGATTTTTTGGGTTTTTTTTTGTTGTTGTTGTTGTTGCAAGTATTCATCTTTTATCACAGGATTCTTTGGGGTTTTTTTGTTGCAACAGACTGACTACTCAGTAAAATATTTTGATGTGTTGGTTCTTCTCCTGCGAAGCACATTGAACTGCTGACTCCCGGTTCTGCAGCCTGGTCCTAAACACACTGAGCTAGCCAGCCATATTTAAACAGACAGACAGACAAGTCGATTACAATATTATATTTATTGGCTGCCAGGTCTCAAGATGCTGGCTGAAGTGCTCTGTTCCCCGGGTGTCCAGACAGTGAGACAACTCTCATGATGAATGGTGCTGGAAGAGGAGAAAGTTTGATTTTATTTTGTGCAGTGGCTTTAATGCCTGAGCATTGATAGGAACATAAGAGCCCTGCTGGATCAGGCCAAGGGCCCATCTAGTCTAGCTTCCTGTATATCACAATAGCCCCACCAGATGCCTCTGGGAGCACACAAGACAACTAGATACCTATCTCCTCTGCTACCCCTCCCCTGCATCTGGCATTTGGAGGTACCTTCCTTCTAAGCCTGGAGATTGTACATCCCCATCATGGCTTGTAACCTGCGATTGACTTTTCCTCCAGGAATCTGTCCAATCCCCTTTTAAAGGCATCTATGTCAGATGTCCTCACCACATCCTGTGGTAAGGAGTTCCAAAGACGAACTGGGTAAAGAAATTTCTTCTTTTGTCTGTTCTCACTCTCCCAACACTCAGTCGGAGTGGCTGTCCTCTGGTTCTGGTATTGTGTGCAGTTTATCCATCCCCTGCATAATTTTATACATCTCAATCATGTTTCCCCCTCAGGCACCTTTTCTCTAGACTAAAGAGCCCCAAACACTGTAGCCTTTCCTCATAAGGGAGATGCCCCAGCCCAGTCATCATTTTAGTTGCTCTGTTCTGTACCTTTTCCAGTTCCACTATGTCTTTTTTGAGGTGCAGTGACCAGAACTGTACACAATATTCCAGGTGTGGCCTTACTGATCTCCTTACTCCCAGCTGATGACTGGATGCCCATTCTCACACTCATTCTTTCATGCGCAAAGCAGAAAGCAAAGTGTGCTGCTTATATACTGCCCCATAGTGCTTCAAGCACTCTCTGGGCGGTTTATAAGTTAATTATGCAGGCTACACATTGCCCCCCCCCAGCAAACTGGGTACTCATTTTACTGACCTCCGAAGGATAGAAGGCTGAGTCAACCTTGAGCCGGCTACCTGGGATTGAACCCCAGGTCGTGAGCACAGCTTTGGCTGCAGTACAGCAGTTTAACCACTGCACCACGAGGCTCCTTAATGATAATGATAATGACAACATAATGAATTTGTAGTTATTATACAAGACATACCCAATGACACAAGGGCCCACTCCAGTTTTATGTTTTGGCCCATGTACATAAACGTACATGCAACCAAGTTGCTAGCAGGTCTTGCTAGGCCATGAAGATGTTGCCCAGATGGTTGAGGACACCCTATTCCATAGATTAGGGTCGGTGAATCCCTGAAAATTGAGCAGAGGCATGTAGATCTGTCCTGCAATAATTAACATTCATATCTAAATAAAATGTGTCTAAAACACCTTAAGAATTTTAGGTCAGAATGTTGCAATTAATACTGCCCTCAGCACATAGGTCAAATGGGATTAGTCAGTCAAATAATAAAAGCTGTTAATCTTAGCTTAGGTTAAATGGGATTAGTCAATCAAATAATAAAAGCTGTTAATCTTAGCTTGTTGATTTTTCTGATAGCATCTCATTATAACCCACTTTCTGATAGATACAATAGCAAGGCTGATAATTTGTGCATAAAGACAAGACTATACAACATGACCCTGTCAAGTTATGAGAATTGTGGGTGGAACAGCAACAACATTAATAAAACCTTGTCTAACTCATACACAGTAGAATCACAAGACAGTCATGAGAAATAGCAGCAAAAGCAATATATAACATACTTGTGACACTTGAAGTTGGTATTGCAACATTAAGAAGTAGCTATTTTCAGTCATCAACATCATGTAAAAGTAATTGCAAAAATCAGGGTATTTTTCTATTCATTCAGTTCTGCCTTTTGCTACTTTAGCTCTGTGCAGTGAATTCTAGACAGAATTCCAAAAAATTAATGGATGGCACGATATAGGCACAGTACAGTGGTACCTCGACTTACAAACTTAATCCGTATTGGAACGGCGTTTGTACATCGAAAAGTTCGTAAGTCGAAGCACCATTTACCATTGAAATGCATGTGAACAGGATTAATTTATTCCAGCATTTCAAAAAAATACCAAACATAAAAATACAACACGCTGGGACTGCAAAAAACAACAACAACCCACTAATCCAAAAACAAGACAACATAGCACAGAAATGTAACCCCCCAGTCCAAACCGACCCAGAACAGTTTTTTTAAAAGGAAAAAGGAGAACCTTACCTGTCCAAAGCCTCCTGATACTCTGCCAAGCGCCCGGCCAGCTCAAGCCTCCTGGCGCTCTGCTGCCTCCGCCATGGCCGGGGGTGAGCGGCCAAGCACCCAGCCAGCTCAAGCCTCCTAGCGCTGGGTGACCCCTGCCTCCGATTGCAGAGGCAGGGAAGCCCTGGGAGACCTCACAGGACTTCCCCGCTGCCATTGGAGACCTCCTGGGGCTCACCCGCCGCCGTGATTGGACCCCAAGAGGCCTCCGGAGACTTCCAAAGGCGCCGATTATGGTGGCGAGGGAAGCCCAGGGAGACCTCCCGAGGTCCCCCGCCACCATCTGAGACCTCCTGGGGGTCCCTTTTCCTAACTGTTGGGGCAAAAGAGCAGCCTCTTTGCCATCATCAGTTTGAATGGAACAAAAAAAGGTAGTGGAAATTTGAATTTCCCGCCCTTTTCCCCTGCCTTTTTTCGTTCGTAGGTTGAAATATTCGTAGGTAGGGACGTTCAGAAGTCGAGGTTCCACTGTATAGAAACAGGGAATACACTTTGCCATGTGACTACTGATATTGTTAGTTTGCCTTTGCCCTAATTAGATCTAGCTACGCATCATATTGAATACCATAAAGTGAAAGTCATCTTATCTGTAAGATTTAGATACCAATATTGCTGTCAAATGATAAGTTACATGTTCAGGGCCCTCTGTAGGATTGGAGTAAATATTGTAAAAATGTAGTGTCAGGGCTCAATTACCTATGAGAAAAGAACCCCAGTTATACCAATTCATTTCATCCCTCTGTTGTACTGATACATTTCTTTTTCTGCAGTCATATCTATCTATCTATCTATCTATCTATCTATCTATCTATCTATCTATCTATCTATCTATCTATCTATCTCGGCAGGAGCATTTACATTGTTTTTGACTGTATCAATTCATTTCTTTCTATTTCAACTATTATAGAAGACTACACTGCTCTTTCATTTTGTATACATTCATTTTCTCTACTGTTTCTTGAATCAGGCTCCCCTTGTCCTTTTTTTAAATTACAAAAGATAATGATGAAGCTTCTCTCTTCCTCCCCTTTTCCATTCCCTCCTTTATTTACTCATCCTCTTTTTCATATCTCTCCCTCTCAGTTCTTGGCTTTAAATTTTCTTTTCCCTTTTTTCTTTTTCCTTTCGAACAGCATTGGTAGGAGGAAGCGAGTTTTAACAGTATTGTGAAGAGCAGGGTTTAAAAAATGCAATTTATTGATATCCCTTTTTAAAAATGTTTTTAAAAGGTACAAGCACTGTGGCCATGAAGTGACCTCAACGCCCAGAAGCCCAACCCCTGTGCAAAAGAAATAAATCAACAGCAACGTTCGGTTTAAAAAACACTCCTTTTTTGACCATTCAAAGCAGGAAATCTCATGCCCTCTTTCTTCAGCTGGGGCGGGGGAGGCGGTCTCCTGAGCAATGTATTCAAGTTGTTTTTTGTGGCAGCGGCTGCTGATGTTGCTACTAGCAATTTATTGATATCCCTTTTTAAAAATTTTGACCATTCAAAGCAGGAAATCTCATGCCCTCTTTCTTCAGCTGGGGCGGGGGAGGCGGTCTCCTGAGCAATGTATTCAAGTTGTTTTTTGTGGCAGCGGCTGCTGATGTTGCTACTAGCAATTTATTGATATCCCTTTTTAAAAATGTTTTTAAAAGGTACAAGCACTGTGGCCATGAAGTGACCTCAACGCCCAGAAGCCCAACCCCTGTGCAAAAGAAATAAATCAACAGCAACGTTCAAATGATAAGGAATGAAGCAATACCTCATTAGTACAATTTAACACAACCCTCCTGTGAGGCAGAAAATAAATCGATTAACGGGGAAGTGAATCGATGTTGGCCGCGTGACATGTAAACAGAACATTATGAAACAATCTAAATAATGGCCAAATCAGTATATCTGGGGTTCTTTTGGCAGGTGTTTTAAACCCAAAGCTTGGAAGGGTTACATTATTTGACTACAGCTTTCAAAATTTAAGAATATTCTCAAGAGTGATACTGTTTGGAACAGTACAGTTTTCAGGTAAAGTTTGGTGTCTTCTGGACAGGAAAGGCTGATGAACTCCCCACCCCAATTTCTACTATAATTTTTAAAAAATCACTCCCTTCTAATTTTGCTGACATAAGCCATTCTCTTAGTGGGAAGGGTTAATTGGTATTCTGTATTTGTGCTCCTCAGTGAGACATAAATTAAATCATTTAGGTCTTACCACCAAACTATTAATATTATAATAAAAATATTTTCCATAAAATTGCTTGCATTTTCATAGGACCCTTGACATCTATATTTGTTCTTTTGTCCTATTTGAAAAGTGCTTAATATTAATTGAAGTTAGTTCAGTTGTATTCTTTGTACCGTGTTTAGGCAGCTTATAACCAAGACCCACTGGAGTGCTAGCCTCACAAGAGAGCTGCCAAGATTTAATTCACAATTTCTGGAATGAAGGAAGTAGTGTATGCTAGCATTTTGTAGAGGATGCAGCAAGCTACAACAAAGGCAGCTTTCTTTCTTTGTTCCAGCCAAAAGCATCCACCGTCCAGAGAACAAAAATATCCCAGACTTGTGATTGAGGAGTGTCCTTTAACATATGAAAAACTGACAAATGAAGTGGTAAAGGCACTGTTAGACAAGGTACGGTATGTTCACAATTTCTTGATTTTTTGTGATTTGTAGATTTAGATTTTTTTAATGTATAGTAGTAGGACTTCCCTCACAAAGTAGGATTCCATTTGAGTTTTAGAAGGCATGCTTTTATTCTGATCCAGTTATATAATTTACCCAGTGTCATGTAGTGGTTAGAGTGATGGACTTCAAGAGGCCTGGGTTTGAACTCCACTTGGCCATAGAAACTCACTGAGATGCTGGCAAAACCACTTCTGGAATATTTCATTTACTTTGAAGACACTGTTCGGATGGCTGTTAAGTGGGATGCAGTGTGGCAGCACAGAACAAGCACATCTACCATTTACAGGAGTCACTTGATTTTTAGCCATTGATACCTCAGAGAATTATCTCATACTAGCTATCTTGGGATAGGTTGGGCAGGATAAATACTGGTACAGCTGTGCATATTGGACAGAACCATACATGTACCAGTTCCACCCTGTTAGATCCCTCAGTGATCTTCACTATAACATGCTACTGGAATTCAGCGGTGTGCAGTAACTTGAAGTGAAGGAAATTCAGATTTTTAAATGGGGGAGCAAAGGATCACTACACATAAGATTTTTCTCAAGTATAGAGGTGTACAGACATAAGAAAAAGTGCATATATTTTGGTATATGTTATGACTGAAATATATCACTTGTCATTTTATTTCATGTATGTGCTTAGAACCCTCATAATGTTTGTATCAGTGATAAGATAACATTGTGCTACTTTACAGATCAGTTTACTTTTTCCCCATTCATAACCATGTATCTGTATAGAAAAAGCATAATTTGCAAATTGGAAATTAGCAGTTTCTGAGCTTGCATAGTTCAATTATGTCTTTGTGAAAAATGCAGATCAATGATGCTGCAAAAAGAGGAATGAAGTTTGTTGGATTTGTAACACAGCATTGTCCTCAGTCTAAAATCTGCAATGGCACCAACACAGATGGAAATACAGAGTCTGATTCAACACAGTGCAGATGGAGTCAAGATCAGAGGAGAGATGATTCAGATGCAGATGTTAAAACTGAAGCGACATTGAGTGGTCAGTCCTCTGAAATTGCAGTGGAAGAAGAAATTCAGCCAGATGATGGGCATTTGCAAGAGACTGATGTTCAAGATGGAAAAGAAGGCAGTCCCAGCTCACCTAAATTAACAAAAGGAGAAGGTATTTAAATGCATTGCCTATGTAGTCCACAGGAACTGAATAATTATATTTAAAGATGGAACCATCTTTTCATAGAAAGCAATAGGCTTGGCAGAGGATTAACATCTGATCGCTTCATGTGCTGTTAGTGAAATTGCCCTTGAAAAGGATTCAGAACCTTTACCACTCTGTCTACAAAAAAGAAGGCTTTATTGGAGGTGGCCATTCTAATTATGGATACCTTGCCCAGAGTTACACCAGGTGCCAACACAGCTAGCATTTTACCTACTTGACATAAGAGTATGCTGTTAATAGACAGAATAGAGAATATTCAGAAGGGAAGTATACTACCAGGACAGGAAAAACTGAAAATTAGATTAGATCCTGGCCGTGAATGCCTTCGCGAATACAAAAACTGAAAAGCTGTAAAGCTATAAATTACAGTGATACCTCAACTGACAAACATCCCTACTTACGAACATTTCGACTTACGAACAGCTCTGGTCGCAAGTTTTTGCTTCGACTTGCGAACGGAGCTTCCACTTAGGAACAGAAATAGGCAGGGGGGAAAAAGGGGGGCAATTCAACTTTCTAACTGTAGGTGGCGACGAGGCTGCTTCTTTGTGCTGTAGCTCTTTCGGCAGTTATAGGGTGTGTTGCAGTTCGAGACTTGGGAGAGCCTCCTGCTTCGGAGTGAGCCTGTGTGTGTGTGTCTGCAGGGAGGTAAGCTGCTCTTTTCTCCTTTAAAAAAACTGTTCTGGGTGGGGTTTGGTGTTTATGTGCTGTGTTCGTGGCTTTGCTTTGGAGTGAGTGTGTCTATGTGTCTGCTGGGAGGGTATGTTTCTGTGCTCTGCTTCGGAGCGAGCGTGTGCGTGTGTATGTGTGTGTGTATTTTTAGAGTTTTTTCCCTTAAACCTCAGCAATGGAGGTGGCTCTAGTGTCTGTTTTTTCAAGTTTTTTCTTAAAGCCTCAGCAACAGAGCACCTTCTGACTGGGCTTGCTGTGCTCTTTTTTTTCCCCCTCTGGGCAGCAGGGGGGGAGCCATGTCCCCCCTCTGGGCAGCAGGGGGGGAGCCATGGCTGCTGACCGGAGTGAGGGAAGCTCCAGAGGAGCAGGAGGAGGCAGGCGGGCGGACAGGCAGGTGAGCGCTTCCTGGCCAGGTCTCTGACCCTGGCCCGTTCACTTCAGCCAGCCTTTGAGGCTCCCTTTCTCCTGGGTTTTGTTTTGTTTTTTGCAGCCCCAGTGCTTTCCCATGGGGCTTGCAGTGTTTTATTTTATTTTATTTTATTTTTTGGTATTTTTTTCTACGGCCAGAATGGATTAATCGGTTTTCAGTGCATTTCTATGGGAAATGGTGCTTCAATTTACGAACATTTCGAGTTACGGGCGCAGTTACAATACGGATTAAGTTAGTAAGTCAAGGTACCACTATACCTCTATCAAAGTCCGGGCGCAGTTCCAATACGGATTAAGTTAGTAAATCAAGGTACCACTATACCTCTATCAAAGTGTTAGCCTAGGAACTTCCAATGTATTGATATTGATGCTGAGAATATAATATCCCTTTTGAATTGAAATAATATTAGTATATCATGCTAAAGCCTTACGCCAAGATTAATGAATAATCTTTCTGCTTTAAATACAGGTTTTCTAGATAAATGTTCAAACAGTGTAATATCTTTCCATGTTATTCATTTCCTTAAATGCATTATCATTATTCCTGACTTCTTTATTTTCTAATATCTTTTCCTCAGATAACAAGTTATTTACAGTATTCAATGTCTTTGAAGATGATTCCTCCTCTTGGACCTACCACGATGGTGTTCTGTCTCTAAAAGTGTCTAGGAAAGGGCCTGTGATTAGTACTCTGAATGCTGACTGGCTAGAATTGACAACTTTTTATTACAAGCAAGGATTGTCCTTAATTGACTCATTTGTATGCTGGGAAGCCTCTAAAAGTAAGTGTAATAAATTCAGAATGATTATATTTCATACACAGAACTGCAATCTGGATTAGGGCAGTTGTGGATAGGTAAGGTTTCCCCTGGCATCAGTTTTGTTCAAATCCTTGCATACATAGAGAAAGGGCAGTTGTGGGACAGAATGTTAAACCTCCCCTTTATTGGCTTGGTGGTTCTGGTCTGATTCAAAGCCCCACATGCTTCCTTGTAAGCTTGAAAAGTGAAAAATGAAGAGAAGCTTAGCAGCACACTGACACATTTAACATACCTGTTGTTTATTTTTATTTATTTTATTTATTGTTTAGCTCTGAAATTGAAACATGCTAATTTTATCTCAGAATAGGTAAAGCAGATAGTTCTTTTCTCTGTCTAGCAGATTTTTTAATGAAATTCAGACTCTCTCTCCAGAGCTAAAAATGGAGAGGGACGGATTCCATTACTGTCAGAGGAATTTATCTGCTTCTGCTTCTTTTTTAATCAATCCACCAGTTTGTGTATCGTTTTAAAAAAACTGCTGGAAGAATGGTTGAATCTATCCCTACCCTCACATGGCTGGTTTGCTCCAGACTGGGATTCCACATGCTTGCTTGAGAGAAGAGACTGGGAAGTCTGCTTAAGAGTTAAAAAGAGATAAAGGAAAAAAAACTTGTATGTGCATACTACTTGTAACATCGCTAAATTGTGCTTTTATTGATTTGAGAGTTTATAACATTGTCTTTGCACAGATTTCAGTGTGGCAATGAACAAATAAAAACAGTAAAATGTAAAAATGAAAAGAAAAAGAAAACCAAAATCCACATTCCCAGTTTCCCTTTTACCACATCATGCATATCTACATGCCAGTCTGTTCCCCCCCCCCGCTGTCTTGAAGTGGGGACCTCCCTTTTAGAGGTTTATCAAAGCATGCTCTACCTGGTTCTTTTTGCCATTCCTGTCACCTGCAGCATGAGAGCAGCTAATCATCTGGGGAAATGTTTCCTGGTAACTTCCCCGCTCCCCTTTTTGTCTTCATTTCATTGAATGGCTGATATATAAACTTGATATGAATGGATGTATGCTGGCTTAGGCCAGTGGATGCCAGGACTTCTTGACGCCAGACAGTTTATTACTTTGAAATGTCATTACATTGAAATGTTACAGTATTTTTAAAGTGTGTGTTATATTGCCTCGCATTAACTAGTGCAGACAAGAAGTAGGAATGGAAAGAGGCCCAAAAAAAGAGAGAGAGAGAGAGACAGACAGACCCACCAACTTACATCATTGATGACTGTGGCCATAGCCATGTCTAGCTGCACTTCCCACTAATTAGCAAAGACTGGACAATGTGTAGTAGGGGATCAAAATGCATGTTTTCAAAGTGGACTCCTGTACTATATATTTCCTTTACTATAATTCCATTTTGAAAAGTGATAGCAGAAGCTAGGAGAGTTGTGGCTCCAGTGATTAATGATGATGATGAATGAGTGTGTGCATCATGTGGATATTGAAAAAATAAAGTGAAAACAGTCATTCAGTACAGGCAAGTGGTGTGAAACTCCAGTGGGAATTCCCTCCATGTTAGAGCACTAATAAGAATGATGCCATTACTTACAATTTAGAAGGCCAGTTAAGAAATGCATATCAACTTCCTTCCAAAAAGTTGAGACTGGAGACCAGCGTAAGTTCTGAACAGATTTATGCTTTTGGACTACCTTTCCCAGAATGGCTATGCTGCCTGAGGACTTTGAGGGGAGGGGGATATAGTCTAAAAACACAAATCTACAATCTGTAGTTTTGAAGGCAGAGAGTTCCATAATCTGGAGAAGATGCAGGGAAAAACCCTTGCTAGGCCTCTGCATGCAGAGTTTTCTTCAGATGAGTGCAGATCTTTATAACTGTTAAGACAGGAAGAATAGTCTGTCAAATGGCCTTTACCTAAACTGTTTACAGATTAAAGCCAACTACCTTGAATTCAATCTGGAACAACTGGCAGTGAGTACTGGCATTCATTATAGGAGTGGAATAAACACAATCTTGTACACTGGTTAACAGTCTTACTGCCACAATCTGTACAAACTGTGTGACACTAACTCCTGCAGGAACCATATACAGTCTACACATAATATAACTACGACATGGCTTATTATGTTACATTTGAACCATATACAGTCTACACATAATATACTGTAACTACGACATGGCTTATTATGTTACATTAGATTCCAGATCACGCTGATGATCACATAACTCTTAATATAATTAGGCAAACATACTCCATACCATCACTACCACCTGACAATGTACAGACAAGTGACTGATATCCTATTACTGATATCCCAACAAGGGTAGACTCATTGAGTCAGTGGAATTTATGTAAGTGTTAATCTTCCTGCAGGAAAAGAAGGACATCCTTGCACAGTATTTAGCACATACTCTGCTGTTGGGTATATAGAGAACTACCACTTGGAGGGTGCATTCTTCTTTCGCGTGGCTCTATAGAATGGGGTTTCTTTGCCTCTTTTAAGGCTTTGTTTTGTTTTGTTGTATAAGATTCTCCAGCATGTGATTCCTCAGTAAGCTGTAGTTTGCAAAATCCCACATCAATAAAACTTTTTTGTCTTTGAGGTACCAGAAGAGTCTTGTTAGTTTTATCCCCATAACAATAACTCCCCCAGTTCTTGTAGGCTGTTCAGGGTTTGAGCAGGTCAATTTCTTTCTCCCACCCTCATATTCATTGGGGTTTGTGTGTTTCATTCTGTGTTCTGTCTGCTCTCAAAACCTTGTGATCTCACTTGTGTTTGCATTGCTATTCTGGTGTTTTTCTGATTTGTTTTTTGAATGTCAGCTTTATCTGCATACTGGTGTCTATCTCTGTCATCTCAGCTGTGCAGCCCTTAAGAAAACAGGCATTTTTTTTGTGACTCAGGAATGTGTTGCATGTTTTCTTTATATTGTTCTGTCAGTGTACCCTAAATTTTGATTGCAGATTAGTAAAAATTCCTTGATCATATAAAAATGTCTGATTCCTTGATAATCAGATTGTAGAACACTTGGGGCACAAAACAGAGTAGAAAAATAACATTCAGTGAATTTCAAAAGTAAATACATACACAGTTGAGCTTAAAATTCAAAGTATAACTTCTTATTTTTATAGCTGACTACTTGCCTAAATCATTAGAAGGTTTATTTGTATATGAAGAGGAAATTTCAAGAGTCCCAGGTTTAAACCGGAAAGGAAATGATGCAATTGTTGTGGAACAATGGACTGTAATTGAGGTAATTCCCCACTTCTGGGTTTTCCTTTTCACCATTGAAACTATTACTGTTTTCATTGTAGTTTTATCTAAAGGTTATATATGCCACTGAATTCATATTTCTATTTTTTAAAAACTAGTTCAAATTAGTAAATCAATTTAAGCCAATCTGTAAAATGTATATTATTTAAATAGGCTTGGGGCTGAGGGATATGCCTTTCATTTTTTGTATTCCCAGAATTCTCCAAGAATCCCCAGGCAAAATCCTATGTGTTCCACTCCACATACCCACATGTACAGTAATTGGACAGGACCCTCCTCTGTGAATAATACTGTAACACCAACTGTCAGCCTTCGGATACAATTGTTGTAGATGCAATGACAAAATGTTTTTTGTTGCATGTCAGTCAAAAATAGTGAGGGAATGTGGAATAAAGGCAGCCTCAGAGATAGGCCCTGCTCCAGGTGAGCAAAATATAGGTGTTTGCATGTATCTGTGGGTTGAAACCTCCAGAGTTCTGCTTAGGGAATTCTTGGGGAATTTTGGGAATTGGAGGCAAAAAAAAAATCAACAACCCCAAACAGCATGTTCCTATTGTGGTGTCAATTAGAAACAACTGTAAATTGTAAAATCCAGTTATTCGCTCTGTGTATGTATGTGTATATCTGTATATACTTCCAATTTCCAAAAACTCTCTTTACCTGATGCTTGCAGAAAGTGTAGGATTATCGTTAAGGAAATATTGATAGTGCAGATCTCATGAAAGCCTTTCATCTTACATGTATAGTGATTCAGAAGTTTTCAGTCAAGAAGCCTGTTAATAAGAGAACATGTGGAGTTTGCCAATAATGTATATATTGTATTCTTGAAGACTTTCACGGCCGGGATCCAATGGCTGTTGTAGGTTTTTCAGGCTGTTTGGCCGTGTTCCGGAGGTTTTTCTTCCTAACGTTTCGCCAGTCTCTGTGGCCGACATCTTCAGAGGACAGGAGTTAGAACAATGTATATATTATTAATTTTACTCAACCTTAACTGAAGTGCTCTGAGCAAACAAACATGAAAACCACACATGCTTTGGCATATATTCCATGCTGTGGTAATGCAGAATTCCCTGACATAGCTTTTGGCTAAAGGCATTGGCCACTATACTACCGAGAACATCTATCTGTGGTTACAAGTTCTGCTGAACATGTTTTTTAAATGGTGAAACTGGTTTCAAAGAAATGATGAGTACTGTTGCTGATTTGTATCATGGTGGTCTCACAAAAATGTGTTACTCCTTGGGATAAACGTCTCTTATTTGAACGGCCTTATTTTCTAACCACTGTGCCTTCTTCTTTTTATGCTATACGTTTGAGGTGACTCATAATATCAACTGGTAATGTGAAGATTTTATTAACGGGCATTTATAAGTCACAGTTAATTGGAAAACAATAAAATAGATATAATTGCATTTAAGTAAATAGGTATGTGCTTAGGAGAATAGACTGAATTTTCCATAGCAACTGTTTGCATGAAATGTGACTTCTTTCTATACCAGTAAGCATGGCTGTGACAGAAGCTTCTAAGAAGCCTAATACAGGGGTCTCCAACACCCAGTCCGTGGCCTGGTGCCGGTCCGTGGCCATGGCAGGACTGGGCCACAGAGACAGATCTCCCTGCCTGCACGGCCCACCCACCCACACGCGTAGGTGCCATGCCCATCCGCAAGCATGACCCACTCATCGTGCATGCGTGGGGGGAGCCCCAACCCTCATGCGCGGACCCCAACCCCCCAACTGATCGGCAGTTCAGAAGGTTGGCAACCACTGGTCTAATGTATTTGCACTCTGAAATGGTTTCTGTGATCAGAACCAGCATAAATTAGGAATATATATACGGCTTGTGGATTTCCCTACTTGTTATCAATGCAGCATACTTAAGTTCTGTAGCACAGTGGTACCCAATTTTTTCTGAGTTGTGGACCAGTGTGGGGGCAGTTCATGGGGGGTGCTCGCGTAGGGGCGGGGTGCACTCGCGCGCACGTGCAAAGGGGTGTAACGCACTCATGCGGATGGGCGGGGTGTGCTCGCACTCATGCACGAAGGGGTGGGGGCGATGCACCCTTGCATGTGGGGGGCGGGCCAGCTGGGTGGGGAGTGCATGCGGAGGGCGGGAGATCTGTCTCTGCGGCCCAGTCCTGCCATGGCCACGGACCGATACTGGGCCACAGACTGGGGCTTGGGTACCCCTGCTCTAGCAGACTAAACAATATGTTGAATTCACATTTTTTTGGCCATAAGCTGCTGAGAGAACACACCAGTAATTTAGGAAAAGATGTGGAGAGTGAGGGAGAGAAAGCTACAAAAATGCACAGTAATTCATATCATTGGTCCCTTCTTCAACTATTTTATTTTGAGGTACTCTTCAGAAACACTAAAAATAAGAATAAAGAGGACTTTAAAAATAAAGTACAATGCTGTTAAACAAAAAAAAACCAATTAAAATTGCAATTCTGCCCTACTTTAGTTCCAAATTAGTTGCATTTTCAGATCCCCACTGACAAGAAGTGTTTTTACAAGGATTGAATTAGCCTTGGAAAAATTATATTTTAAAAAACTGTTAAAAACACAAAATTTTGAAAATTGTCTGTAAAGACTAATAAAAAACAGCTATATAAGTAACCAGTGAAAGCATTTGTTTAAAATTTAAGACATATAGTGCTAGAGTATGGGTCCCTGAAAATAAGACCTAACCTGAAAATAAGCCCTAGTATCATTTTTCAGGATGCTTGTAATATAAGCCCTACCCCAAAAATAAGCCCCAGTTAAGTGAAGCCCTAACCTCCACCAGGGACTCTTTGTGCAGCAACCAGATGACATGACTGTATTATAATAAATGTAGATTGTTGTACATGAAAAAAATAAAACATCCACTGAAAATAAGCCCTAATGTGTTTTTGGAGCAAAAATTAATATAAGACCCTGTCTTATTTTTGGGGGAACACGGTAGGTGTTAAGGGGAAATGTAGTTGCCTTGTTTTCCCCTGGCAACAGGATTTCCTCAGCAACACATAGATCAGCACACTTACAAAGTAAACACATATTGACTTTCCAGTGATCAAGCACAAAGCAGCATAGATGAATACAAGCTACATTAATATGACATGTGCTTTGTATCTTGAATTTAGCCATGTTTTGTTTTATGATCACTTAACCAGTTTTAATATTTGAGGGAGCACAGCTTCTGAATACGTGTTACACTTACTGTCTAGTTTGATCTTAAGTGCACTAAATATCTATGGCACATTTCTTCTTCTTGTGTACTTGAAGAAATGTACTTCAGATTACAGCCCCTCCTTCTCCTTTCCATTTCTTCCAGGCACTAGAATTGGTGTGGTCAACCAAAACCAATTGTAGAAGCTACTATTATCTGCTCTCTCAAAATGTATTCATTTCTATGTTTCTGAAATAGGGCAGTGAAATCAAAACAGATTATGGACCATTACTACACACTTTGGCTGAATTTGGTTGGCTTTTAACATGTGTGCTGCCTACACCAATCATCCGCCTGGACAGGTAAATGAAAACAATGCATTTTTTGCAAGCAACTGTAAGACTGTCTGACTTCTGAGTAAGCATTTTGTACAGAATTTCATACAACTACATGCCAAAGGCAGGACTTTTTTTCTCCCACAAACTTGTTTCAGTGGCAAAGTTCTTTAGGAGCTCTGATTAAGAATTAATTAATCTGAATTAATTATCTCTGCTCCCCTTCCTCCAAAACAAAACAGCAGAACTTCATGTTTGGTGAGGAAATGACTAGATCTGCTTGTGAGTCGCAATGATTATTTTGATTTTTTTTCCTTTTTATATATGTGTGTCTTTTTTTTTACCTCAAAGTATGGTTCTGCTGATTTGTAAAGGACAGAAATGGCTCCCTCTGGCAGTTGAAGCATATTGCAATACCTAGTAGGCCATTTTTTAGTCGTCCTCACCTCTCACCAGTGAAAAACAGATTCTGCTTCTTTGCCTTAGGATAAAAGCACACTGATAAAGCACATTTATTTTTCACTCTCTTATTACCTTATCCCTCAAGGCATGCAAATCTTTCAATACAATATGTCTGAAACATTAGATGTTAACAAACAGAGCCATGCTGTCTTCCAAATGACCAGTAGAAAATAAGAACCAACTGTCAAATAGGGTTGATGTAAACTCATGTTAGAGTAAACAGAAATTCTTTTTCTCTGAAGGCTGCTCTGAGATACAGATGCAAAGTGCTGGGTAGTGAGGTCCTTAGACAGTGGCTGCATGAGTTGGAAACTGTTCTGTTGCTGTTACAGCCCTGGTTAAAGTGAGCAGCTCTACTTCAGAAGGATTAGAAAACGAAATTGAGCAGCTGACAGGTGGGAGATACTCTTTCTCTTTCTTCTCCTTTCTGTGAGTCATTGAGGATGGTATTTGTAGTAGGTTCATTAGATACAAATCCAAACTGAAGGGAAGTAAGAGAAAGACTCATAAGAGGCAGATCTTGGAAATAATGTGTTAAAATTGATGTGTTATCTGATGAAAAAGTAGCATCAGTTTATATAATGTTTAAATCTAATGCATTAAATGTAACATTAAGGGAGTTAAAATTCATAGTTATGCTATGTCCACAGTTCCACAGTTTATCTTGATGTTATGAAGTGCTCTGTGGTTTATTATGTAATAATAGAATTTTTCAGGCTGCAATCCAGTACTGGGTCATTTATACTAGCATGCATATGGATTTGAGACACAATTCTTTTGCTCATGAGTTTCTTGGAGTTTCTTGTCTCTCATGCTTTCAGATGGTTTCCAATATTGTTCAAATTCTCATCACTCTGTTTTTTAAAATATGATAACTTATTTGTTTTATATATTATATTTTAAGACAGAGTAGGGAAGCCAGAGGTGGGTGGGAAATTGTGGTTCCACCAACTCTGGATGTTTTATTCATCATTTCAGTGATTGCGAAGTCAGTCTACCTCCTTCATTCTCATGGAAGACTACTAGAATGTTAATTTTCAGTTGTGTGAATATTCCATGGACATTCCCACCAAGTTGTGGGTATGGGAGGAAGTGGTTATTGTTGTCCTCTGTAGTCTGTGGAAGAGTAAGAGTCGGGATAGCTGAAGAGGCTTTTTTGTATTTCAGATAAAGTGTTCTGCTTAAAGAAGTGTCTTTTAAAATTGTCAAAAATATTACTGACTCTGTGTAGAGTAAATTTAATTGAACGTACTGGAGAATTTTATTACCATGTACACTAGAGTATAAGCCTAGTTTTTCAGCACAATTTTTTTTTTTTTGCAGAAAAAGCACCCCCTCGGCTTATACTCGAGTCAGTGTCAAAATTACATGTTCTCCCCTGCAGTGTGGGTGTTCTCCAGACTCCCCCACTCATCTACGGGCATCTGCAGCCTCTGTGGGTGGTCTGATGACCCGGGTTAAGTACACTGCATTTTTCAGACTTCGCAGGCAGATACTGTGCAGGGAGGATAATAGCAGTCTACAGTGGTGCCTCCCTTTACGAGTGCTCCGTTTGACCACGAAATAGCTTGACGTTGAAGATTTTGCAATCACAAAAGCAATTGCAAAACGATGTTCCCTATAGGGGAATTTCGCTTTGTGATTATCGGTTCCCTGCTTCGGTAACCGATCATCGCTTTGCGATGATTTTCGCACAGCTGATCAGCGGTTTCAAAATGGCCGCCGGGTAAAAAACATGGCCGCCCGCTGTTTTCTGGGACAGATTCCTCACTGCACAGGCAGCGAAAATGGCCGCGCTATGTAGGATCTTCGCTGGACGGTGAGTTTGAAGCCCATAGGCACGCATTAATTGGGTTTTTATGCGTTTCTATGGGTTTTTTAATATCGCATTACGACGTTTTCGTTCGACAGTGATTTCGCTGGAACTAATTAACGTCCTCTGAACAGATGTCACAGTATGTCCAAATGAAGGAGATGTAGATGAAAACTTTTTCGCAGCAGCGTGTCAGTACATATTTCAAAGACCCCTCTGAACAGATGTCACAGTGAGGGCATTTTTGTTTACAAGCCCAGGGAAGCCCATTCACCCCCTTCTTCCCTACTTTGCCAGTAGCTGCTGCATTTTCCACCCTCGGCTTATACTTGAGTCAATAAGTTTTCCCAGTTTTTTGTGGTAAAATTGGATGCCTTGGCTTATATTCAGGTCAGCTTATACTCGTGTATATACAGTAATTCCTTTTAAAGTTAGCAGAGTATCAGGCACAAAAACAACAACTGCACAGAGAAAGGATGAGAGAATAGCTGAAATCTCAGTAGCCCACCCCTTTCCCAGTTACTGGCACATCATATGTTAAAAGACAGTGTGTAACCATTGTGAGTGAAAACAAAACATATATTTACTTACAGTTGCTGTCTATAGTTACTGTAAGTAGAAAAATGAAGTCTCCACCATGTGGAAGAGTCATCCTCGGTGCTTGCTACATGTTTGGAGGTCAGGAAAGGAGAGAGGGAGAGAGAGAGATTAATAAAAGGGAGTGGTGTAAACAAATAGGAGGAGGGGAGGGTCAAGCCAGAGGCAGGAAAAAGTTGTTTAGAGATAGATTAGTGGCAGAGAACAATCATAATAAAGTGAGATATTAAATACAATTAAGCCTAAACACAAACCTGTTCCCTCTCCCCCTAGAAAGGCCAAAACTGAAAAATAAGTTGTTCAGTAGTAAATAGGTGCAGACTTTGGCAGAATCCAGCTTTCTTGTAGTGACTAGCTGACCCATGTAGTTTTGAAAGGGGCAGAATCCAGCTTTCCTGTAGTGACTAGCTGACCCATGTAGTTTTGACCTCTTATAGCAGGTTGTGTGCCAAGACAAGGCTGTTGCAACAGGCTGACAAATATCCAGCATTTGTTGACATGTGTTTCACATTGTGTACCAATCCAGCAGTTTGTTTCTGCACACACATAGCTGCTAGCCAAATGGAAGTCTTGAGGGTATGCATTAGGGTAGCATAGTGATTGCATAATAAGTGTTAAGTGATTCATGTATGAAAAGCGTATTCTCATGCAGTGGTTTCCAACCTTGAGTAACTCAGGTGTTCTTGGATTGCAGTTACCAGAAGCCTTCATCACCAGCTGTGCTGGCCGGGGTTTCTGGGAGTTGCAGTCCAAGAATACCTCATTTGCCCAAGGTTGGGAACCACTGTTCTAGTGTAACTGAGTTGATAAACCTTCATTTTTTAAAAAGCAACAGTATATAGTGATGACTAAGTATGCCAGTACCTATTCTGAAAACTAATCATAGCAACAGTAATGAAGAAAGATAGGAGATTTGCTAGATTAATTATTATTTGTGTGAGGGTTTCATTCCATTGTGGATTTTCTTGAGAATGCAAATTACATGGTTGAATTCAGCTTTACGTTTTGATCAGACTTTCAACTCTAACCTCAGAATTCAAGCCGAGTCTTAATTACTTTCAGCTCTTACATTGCACTATTGTATGCAAGGTGCAGAATGTTTCTGTTGCTGTCACTTGGTATGGTATTCTGAACAGAGAATACAGTGAGTAGAAAGACCTGCCTCCTTCCCAAACCGTTAAACAAAAACAAAACTTTTAACTTAAATCTATCTAAAGAAGAACAGCTGGAGTTCTAAAGACATAAAAAGCCATTTTGCACTGTGTGCTCTCCACTACATTCCCTGTGTACCCAACAGATAAACTGTTACTGGACTGTGGGTCCTCTCACAGAATATGGGAGAAGGAATGGAGAGGGGGAGAGCAGAATACGGGGACCTGAAGTTGGCAGAAGTGTCTTTCTTTATTTTCAGAAGACATCTGACTCCATCCCAATAAATTTGGCAGTGAAAGTAAGTCACCTGGCATCTTGCCTTCAAGACATGGCCATTTCTAAATGAAAAGCTGGGCAATGTGGACAAGTCAAGATGCCAAATGTATGCTCCCTAGAACCCACTCACCTGTGTTGTGTATGCTCGCCTGTGTCACTCCCTCTGTTGACCCTGCAATGCTCCCAAATTTTCTTCTTACTTAAATGACTTTTAGTGATTTGCAGCTGAATTTGTTTTCTAATGATTTGCAGCTTAGTTTTGGGGAAACCTTGAGAAAATGCTTGCATACATACAGCAGTCATGGCCAAAAATATTGGCACCCTTGCAATTCTGTCAGAAAATGCAAGCCTTCTCTCAGAAAATTGTTGCAGTTGCAAATCTTTTGGTACTCACATGTTCATTTCTTTGGTTTGCATTGGAACAACACAAAAAAAACAGAGAAGAAAAGTCAAATTTGATACAATCCCACACAGAAACCCAAAAATGCACTGGCCAAAATTAGTGGGACCGTTAACTTAATAAAGTGGTGCCTCGCTTAACGATGTTAATTGGTTCCCAAAAAAACATCGCTATGGGAAAACATTGCTAAGTGAAACACCATTTCCCATAGGAACGCATTGAAAACCGGATAATCCGTTCTAATGGGAATGGATTATCGTCCTTAAGTGAAAATCGCCATAGGAAACATTGCTAAATGAAACGCGGTTCCCCCATTGGAATGCATTG